TGTTGCCTCTACCTATGGTAAAATCCTGAGTCAAAAACTCAAACATCGATTGAGCAACTGGTACGCAAAAAAGCTGTGCCACTCGTGCAATGACTCTTAAGAATAAACAAGTAGACCTTTACCATTTTAAACTAACAGCAGATGATCTAATACAAAAACAAATGTTTATTCTCTATCCAAGACGCATATTAGTGCTGTTTGATATGTTTTATTTAGTCACAAAGTTAACATGGATTTTACAAACATTTTGCAGAAAAGTTTTTTCTTTAGTAGCAAAAAAAATGAACTCGCGTAAACCAAATATTCAAATTTTCACCATTATAGACTAATATCGTTTATTATAAAAGTAAAGGTCATCTTTGTGACTAGAATAGAAAAAGTCAAAATAATATATTGCGAAAGGCACAAAATTTTGTTTCAAGTTTTTTTTCCATTCTTTTATAATTTTTCGCTTGGGTAGACCAAAGATAGGTTTCTAATTGAAATTTTTTTTCTTTCTTTGACTTAAACTAGCACTTCACTTGACTACAATGATGTTTAGTTGTTTTTTATAAATGTTTTTTGAAAAGCCGATAGAGTACATGTTGAAACCCTTATAATATATAAATCATACAGACTGGTTATATTTAGGTGCAGAAATCAAAAATCCTAAAACATGATATTATTTTATGTTTAATATATATTTTGTGTTAAAAAACCTTATACACTAAAGAAAAATTGACAAAAGAGTTGTAAAAGCGTGATAACTACTATAATCGCTATATTTTTATTCAGACTAAATTATGCAGCTAGACTGTATGTCAGTTGTATGATAGATAACAAACAGATTAGTTCTTTCTTTTTCTTCTGTTTCTGTTTGATGTATAAATGAAAAAAGAAGAGAATCGTCAACATTGTTCCCTGCACACGACAAACAAAACTAGTTTTTACATCTTTATTTGTTATGTATCAATATAAGCAGATACTGTTGTATTTCTGAAGAAATTGTTTGTTTTTTTATTCTTATTATGTTTTTATAAGAATAAAGCGATATAATGTTGATCAGTACTAAACCTTGTAAATAATAAGCGTAATCATTAAAAACTTAATTTTATTGTGTTATATTATCTACCATACGCCGTAATTTTTCCATTAATTCGTTTTCGTGAAACATTTCTCGTACAATTTCACACTCATGCAATGACTTTTGAATAAATGTCTCGCGTATATTTTTTGCATTATTTTCCGTAGTAGTACCGGTATTTTTTGGCGTATATACATACACATCGACAGGATCCAAATTGTTTGTTGTTATATAATGTTGTAATTTTGGTACTTGAGCTTCAGCCAATTGTTCCGTCATAATAAAACTCATTTTTTCATCCATAATTTTCAATGGTGAGTAGTATAAGTAAAGTAAAAATTCACTTCTGCTATGAAATTGTGTGATAAGGGTATCTGGATAATTTTTCAGTTCATGTTCATAGGAACGGAATGGATCAAATAGAGCGATAGTAAAACCCATTAGCTAAACAAAATACACTAAAACAATTAGGCAAGCACATTCCACTTTAATCATATTATGGTTCCGGCATTTACCTGTTTTGTTTAATCTAAAAAAGTTGAATATTAGTGGATATTATTTGCATGAAGATGACGTATATAGTCTTTTATTAATCATTTTTAAAAGTATGTTTGCTTTCTTCTCGTTTTCTTCTAGAAAAATATATTTATTCTTTCTTTTCTATAGGGATCTTTATGTCGATTCAGTTTCTGTCTTTCTTTCTTTTATATTATTTATGCATTCTTTGCTGACAATATTTTTTTACATAGCACTTAGATGAGATTTTTAGTCTTTCTGTTTGTGCGCATGTAGGAAATTCTATCAGCTGAGTATACCAGATACGTTATAATTCTGATAAAAGATATGGAGGTGCAATAATTTGTAAGAATAAATAATCGGATTAAAAAATACCCAGCAAAATCACCCATTTACACTGTATTCAAATAACATTGTACATATGCTCCGATCTTTTATAAAGATCGGACTATGAAAGCAATAAAAAACAACAACAAACGAAAACGGAATGAAGCAGAAGAAATAACAGTACAAGTTTCAGGACGCGATCTCTTTCTGTTTCGATTTTGATAATAGCAGTTTTCAGTGTACACATACACTGAGTGTAGAGTACTGTGGGGTGAAAAGAGCCAGCGCACGAAAGTTTCTGCGTAATTTCACTATTTCTCATCCATTTTTAACTGAACAAATTCGATATTAACCACGTTGGTAGAGACGATAATTATGCATGCACTAGCACAAAAATTTCCTGAAATTCATGTTGGTTGTCCAGATATATTCAAATGAGAGTCGAGTGGTTTTTATTGACTTTGTTTACCCCGTGTGGGGTAAAAAGAGTCACCTCACTTATGTCGATGGAGCAAAATGAGTCAATCCATTCAAGTACATGGAGACTTTTTAAAAGGATTGTAGCTCATTAACGATAAATGCTAATCAATTAGAAACTATATCATTATGAAGATCCACTCTTCCTCTATCAAACCATATGATTTTGATCTTCATATCTGTTACCTTCATTAAACTAATTAGACCACAGTAAAATGTGTCAGTTTTAAAATTTTTGTCTTTGCGGTAAAAAGAGTCAATTCGTTGAAATCCATGGAGATTTCAAAGAAGCATCTGTACCAGAACTGAGCAAGTCAAGTCATTTTTGACTTGACCTGACCTGAGAAATTTTTGATAACTCACCACTTGACTTGACCTGACTTGTGATTTGGCATAAAAAATCAAGTCAAGTCATGCATATTTTTAAACCGCTTATGCAATCTAATTTTAAATAATAATTCCTAATGATTTGGGAATGTTAATGTTATAATATGTAAGAATTTACACACAGTAACAAGGCGCGCATTTTGCAATAGCATAGCAAGTCTGTGTTCTAATATCACGGAATGGAGACTCTTTTATGCCGTTTTCTACGGAAAAAAAAATTTCAAGTCGTGACTTGACTTGACTGGTGAAAATTTTTTATTACTCATGAGTTGACTTGACTTGGAAAACCCGTGACTTGTCCAACTCTGATCTGTACAGACGTCCCATAATCGATTTTAATACTACAATGAATGTAAAAGTTGTTAATAATACTGTCATCTTTATCATATGCGAAAACTGACATTTAATTGCTATAAAAAGAGAAATTTTATGATAAACGAAAATTCTAGGTAATTTTGACCGTGTTCTAGTCGTAATCTAATCCATATTTTGAATTAACAGCAGGTAAATTAAATAATGTGATCACATTCCTGGGAATCGAACAATAAAAGAGTGAAGTTTCTACCATGACAAAAAATAGACAAGATATTTTGAAAATTTCACCTTTAAGCAACTTTTTCTAATATTCCTATTTGAACTTTCAATATTGAAAGAATTTTTCTGTCCTTGGTAGCCAAGAATAAAAATGTCAACACGGATTATTAAGTGAAGTTCAGCATTGACGCTTTTGACAGAAAAATTCTTTCAATATTGAAAGTTCAATAGGAAAAAGTTGCTTAAAGGTGAAATTTCCAAAATATCTTGGCTATTTTTTGTCATGGTAGAAACTTCACTCTTTTCCCGCTCGATTCCCAAGAATGTATTACATAATAAGGCGTGATCACATTATTTAATTTACCTACTGTTAATTCAAAATATGGATTAGATTACGACTAGAACACGGTCAAAATTACCTAGAATTTTAGTTTATCATAAAAATTCTCTCTTTTTAGCAATTAAATGCTCGGACACTGACTTGTTTTACCCCACAGTACTCTATTAGTTAATAATTCAAGTCGATGAATCATTTAATGTTAGTATGTGACCGATAAAATGTTCGTAATGATGATCATTTAATGGTATTATAAAAACCAAATGATAAAGTGGAGAAATATGCAAAAAAAAAACACTCAATTTACATGAGGTCGCATACCACCAAAATCAGCAATATTAATCGAAAAATATGAAAGCATTACCCTCAGGGTCTTTCGTAAATTGAGTGCTGTTTCATGAAAATGTGTCGTAGAAAGCTCGGTCACGTTTCATTTTATTCAGAAATGTTTGCTCTATACGATGGAGTCATTCGCAAAGGATTTCTGGAACTTGGTTTGTTCTAAGACTATTTCTTTTATATTTTTTCTGCATACATCAGATTGTTCAGCAGATTTTTCTCTACAAAATGAGGTATACTGAAGTTTGTATTTGCATTTGAGAAGGTGAAAACAAGAAAAATATTAATTAGTTTCGACCAATTTCTCACTAATTCCAATTTCAGTTTCACTTTTTAAAAAATAGTGTATAATGTTTAATCTAATGCTACCGCAAAAATTCCAAATAGCCTGTTTTCTAGAGAAAAGTCGACGGTACAATCCTACATCGTGGATAAAAATTGGTAACAAATGATTTGAGAGATACAATTATTTTCAAAGATGCACCAAAAAACCAATTCTAGAATCGATGCATGCCTACTACAAGTTGATCAGAATATATATATATATATTATATGGGGGATATAGCCCTCTCCTTAACTACTATTTAGCTGAATAATTAAATTTGACTCAAATCGGCTTACTGATACTTAATAATGAAGTTAAAGTATCTACTGCAGCGACAATTCGGGCAGATTAAAACGAGCCCATTTTAAATAGCGTTGAATCTATTTGAAATCCTATTGCGTAGATGCTCAAGTTGATGTAGTACAAGTAACACTTGTTCAACTATACATAGCAGAGAAACACATACATTGTATCTAATGTAGTCATTATACTGTTGAACAGCTTTTCTAATATTTCTTTACCTATCTTGTTTCTAGTGCTATTTTTCTTGAAGGACGTCTGAAAACGTAATATAAACAAGTTTAGAAGTTCTGATAACAATCTATTCCATGGACTTTTGTTTTGTTTCAGCCACTTCTCCGTCTTACTTTGAACACTAGTATTTTTGGTTTTGATGTAACATTTTTTGTTTCATGGACATTATATTCCGCGTTCCGACTTTAACTTGGCAAGTGATCCATAAGGATGGATTTCTGTTAATTGCGTAAGCAACTGATTTCGACTATAGAATACTCGTAAATCTTGAATATACGAATCTTCTGTAACGCAAGCGATATATGTATCCTATGCTTTTCTTCACCATTTCATGACCTGAATACTTCTGACTACCGTTACAAGCACAAGAGATCCTACATATCTGCGCTATAACAATTTTTCCGGGTAACCAGAGTCCTGCGGGACAAATTTTTCTGTTGCCCCGAGCTCGTGAGCAAATAATGCTGTCCCGCGAAAAAAATTTACGAGCTTTTTTATCCCGTAAGTTTTTGAAAATTCTTTTCTGTTATGATGAACCGTAACTATAAGAGACGCTTATAGTCTCAAACTCATTTTTGCGAAAAATTCGCATAAGCCTAATTTATTTGATTCTAAACTTAAAAGTTGGTGTATAGAAAAATGTTTTACATCCACTCACTAGCTCAGAATCGAAAGGAAAGAACTGTAAACCTAGTTTTAGATATGAAACACCTTCTCAAGTTTAAATCCAGACCATTCCCCCCGTCTGTCTTCGACCCCGTCTGTTCCGCGAGACGGGAGATGGAATTCCTGGCTGCCTCGCAGGAGTCTACGGGTAACTCAAAAAAAACAGTCAGAAATAACTGATGTATACCAAATTAAGTGTTATTCTACAGATCTCAAGCGTAGAAAGTATCTAGAAACGCGGGTCACTTATGAATTAAATGCCGAACTAAGGAGAAAATACTCAAAACTTGGATGTGTATTTTCATGGGTGCACAGCAGCATTGTTTACTATCAGATTCAAAATTTAAGGACAAAGTTGATATCTCTACTATGTGAATATTCCGTTCGTTTTTCTTTCTTTTTTAATGTTTGTTGCTCTATTATCGACGCTAAAATACAAGGCCGGTGATTATTCTTTGAATAACTCAAGAGAAATAAAAGATACTGACTTGTGATTTTCATCATTCCCTAGCCAAGGTCTGAGCTATGTTTTCATAGGCAAAAACGAGTTTGGGAAAATTTCAAAGGTCGGTTTTTCAGGAGATCTGTGGAAAACCAGTTCGGTTCTCTGAAAACAGACACAGAAATCTATGAATTTATTTAATTTTCAATACAATAATATATGGTAGTGCTGGTAATACCGGTTGCAGAGAGAGCACAGTAATTAATTTCTACTGAAGGTGTATTTGACCTTGGACAGTTCACAGTAAGAATTTGAGCTCGAAATATTTCCAAGACTTATCTTAACATTAAAGCTCAAAAAATAGGTGTCCGTGCGTCCCAGATTTCTTCTGCAATTCTAATGATACAGACTTCGGGGTGGTGTCAAAAATGTTTCAACTGTCCAAACGAAAATATATGACCTGCAACCGACCCGGTCACAAATTTTTCGACCCTAACCAAAAACAGCATTAATAAAAAGCAAGAAATGCTTTAACAGGAAAGAAGTGTAGCCTTATT